TCCGGGTGATGTCCAAGACCAGCCGCTCGGTGGGCTCGGACAGCTTGCGGACGTCCCACCACAGGACCTGCAGGAGACCAGCACCGGGAGGGGAGCTGCTGGGGCTGCTTCCAGCTCAGCCACGGGTGCTGGGGAGCTGAGGGGGGCTGGAGCTGCCCCGTGCCAGCCCACGCCGCCAGCCTGGGGGCCTGGGGAGGGGCAGCGTGGGCAGGGGAAGCGCCTTTGGGCTGGTCCCTTCCAGCCTGGTCCCCGGGTGAATGCCTGGCTCCCTTCCCTGCCCCTTACCTGCCCGTCGGTGGAGGCTGAGAAGCACTCCGTGCCCGTTTTGGACTGCAACCAGATGGCTCCGTACACGGGGTCCCTGTGGCTGACTTCCACGGTGGACACCTCCACGGGCAGCCCCCCTTTCCTGGTGTCCCAGTAAGCTGGGAAGGACAAAGAGCAGTCAAGATCTATACTAGCTCCCTTGCCCGGCTCCTTTGTTTGCCGTGGAGATGCTGTCCCACTGCCCAAGCCAGACTGGGGGGCAAATCTCACTGGGTGCTCCCCCTGCATTTCCCAGCTCCAGAAGAACCATGCGTGTGCCCCACGGGCTGGGAGCCTGCTGCTGCCATCACTTGTAGGGATTACTGGGTGGTAATGCAATTTGCACCTTCTGCAAACGCCGAGTTAGATGGTGGTAACATACTAAAGAGCTGCAGCATCTCCTCAGCGATCCTCTCGCTGGCAGATGCACTGCAATCCCCAGGGACAATAAACCCCCCCCGGTTCCCCCCCTCGCTCTGCACAAGGGGTTGCAGCAGGACCAGGCATGGTCTAAGCATCCCCCAGCCCCCCGTCAACTCCAAACAGCAGCTCTTACGCCTGACACTGCTAAAAACCAGCCTGTGCGACCTGACCCTGGCTGTGCTCCCCTCCTACGTGCCCGAAAGGTGCTGGATAATGAAGGCAGGGACCCGGCAGCAGCAATCCTTCCCTACCTCTGCCTCTGCCGTGTGGCAGAGGGCAAGGCACAGCGCAGGACCGGCCGCGGTTCAGCAAAGGTTAGGCAGCTGGGCCGCGGTGGCACCGAGCTGCCCGTGCTCCCTCTTGCTCCCTTCTAATTAGGCAATTGGATGTGATGGAGTGTGCTCTGCCGGGCCTGCGCCACGCGCCTGGGGAGCTCTGTGAAGGACGGGGTGAGATCCCTCCCCTCCACCACCTGCGGAGCGCGCAGCAACAGCCCCGTAACGCATGCCCCGTCAGCTCCGACCGCTGCTGCAAACGGCAGGGAAAACATCAAAATGAGGTCCAATTAAATCAAAGGGCTCGCGTGGCCAAGTAAATAACGGAGCCACAAATGAAGCTGGCAAAGAGGGGCGCTTCTCCAAGCACTCGAAACAACAGCACAAGAACAATTCGGTGCATGAAAGGATGGCAACTCTCCTGGGCTTTAAGATGAGGCGCCGTGGGTGAGGCGGGAGCGCAGCACGCGTGCTGCTCAGCTGTCTGATCCTGCAATCCCCGCCTCGCTGCCCCGAGTGCCTGCAAAGGGCTCCCAGGCACGGCGTCCTCCCCTCCCCGGGTACCTGCTCAGGTGAGCACGTGCCCGTCCCCCACACGTAAAGCCCCAGGGCTTCAGGCCGTGCTCGGGATATTTCCAGCCACAGCACTAATGACTTTGTGAGCCTAGCAGTGCTGGAACTGCTTGCCGAATGAAAATTAAGCCAGGCCCTCATTAGTACGGCCTCACGCCTAATCCATCTTCCTTACCCATCTGCCCGTTGTAGCATCCTCCCACCAGGACGTGCGAGTCTTTGGGGTTGTATTCCAGGCTCACGAGAGGGGATGACGGCTTGAGAACGAGCTCTGGCTTGCTGGGGTTTTCTGCCAAGGTGGGGATGAGTAAAGACCAAAGCGCAAAGGCAGTCCGGAGGGTGAGCACCCCCGCCTCTAAACCAGCTTCCCGATACCGCACCCCGCTCCTCCACGCCTGGCTCCCTCCCACACCGGTGCTTGCCCCAGGATGCCTCCCCTTAGCTAGAAAAAGGAGCTGACCTGTCCTCACCTGCCAGCCTGGGGACTCACCTCTGGTACCCCAACCTCTCTTCTTTGTGTTTTACACTCCAAAATACAACAGGTCTGAGAGGGTCTTTGGCAGAACAGGGCAATTCTCAGCCTGGGCTTGTGCTGCCTCTTTCTTTCTTAATCAAGCACAAGTGAATCATATAAAGACAAGAACCAAGTAAGAGGAATGTGGCTCAGCTGCTTGTTGTGGTCACAGGCGCTCTAGGTCATGAAGTCATTTAGTGGGGTTTTAGCAATTATTTTCCACCTGTTGGCCAGCTTTCAGGGCCCATTTCTCCCCTTCTCGGCATTGATTTGTGGGCAAAGGAGAAACTGAACCCCTGTTCACCCCCTCCGGAGCGCTGTGAGGCTTCATTACACTCTTTGAAGACACAAAGTGCTTCCGCCAGTGGCAGCATTACTGACTGGTGAGTTTTCCCTTCCCCTTACCGAGATCCCAGATGTATGAGTCAAAGCTCATGTCTTTCATGTTCTGCTGGAACTCCAGGCTTGAGTACGCCACTGCCAGTTTCTTGCATGTGTCAGGGTGCCAGGAGAGATGTGTGGCCGTCCTCTTGGTTACGTTTGGATCCCTTTGTGATAACAGGACATCAAAGAAAGATGTTAGTTTGCTAACAGCTTTGTCATGTCCTGGGATGGCTGTCTCCCAAAGGAAACTGTGGGAATCGCAATTAAAACAAGCTGCAGCCCTTGAGCATTGAGTGCAGGAAATGATTCTCCTGGCGGTCAGGCTGGGGGAAAAGAGTTGATGATTTAATAAAGTCTTTCCAGTTATACGTTTCTAAGAATCCAATTATGTTACTGGATCTGCCTTCTAGAAATGACCTAACAGCCCCTGACATTTGAAAAAACTGTCTGAGGTACCCCCAAAAAAATAAAAAAATCCTGTCTAAAGCACTGTTAGAAGATGCTCAGGGCCGCGTCTGTCCTTGGACTGTGGTACCTTTCTCCAAAGTGTCTGGGCAGGGGGGAGGGCAGGAACAGATGGAATTACGGAGCAGGGGGGCTGCAGCCAGTCTCTCCATCCATAAATGGATCCAGCACTATCCCAAAGCCACCGGACTTTCCACCTCCTTTGTCTTTGGAGGGAGTTTAACACGCTGTAGCCCGCTGTGGATCTGGAGAGCCTGGCGAGCCCCGCTGGTTGTGCTACCTGATGACATTGATGGTTTTTGCAGAGGGGGGCTCGTCTTCCACCTCTGCCGTCTCCTCCTCTCCAAAGTACTCCTCGTAGATGTCGATGGCGTTGTTTTGCTTGACGCAGTGCTCCATCAGCTGCAGGGAAAGGCAGAGGAGCTGCCGAGGCAAGGGAACTGGCAGTGGGTGGTGAGGAAGGGGGACGGGCTGGGTCTTACAGTGCCGAGGTGCATGATGGTGTTGACGTAGTTTTCATCTTTCTCCACTTTCTTCCTGAAGCGGATAGTTTGCTCCATCTCCTTCGGGTTGACGTCTTTGGGCCAGCCGCCCTCGACGTGGTTGACCCCGCAGGATTCCACCTCCACTCGCTCGGTGTTGACCTGGCAGGAGGGGGGGGGGGGCGGCACGGAGAAAGCAGAGCAGAAACCCGAGCTGAAGGGGTGCAAAACCCCCCACCTCTTCCCCCTTCTGCCCTGCAGAGCTGCGGCCTGGGGGGGGGCCGTCCATGGCGGGCAGGCGGCCCCCACCTCGTGCGCCGACATGTCGCTGGTGTGCTGCACGGAGCTGTCCACGGGGTTCCTCAGGATGAAGCCGCTGGCCATGCTGGGGTCGGGGGGGATGTCCACGATCAGCTTGGCCGGCCGGTCGGAGAAGCTGCAGGGCCGGCCGAACTCGCTGCGCTTCCGCGTGTACACGTACATGATCTCCATGGCGGCCCTTCCTCCCCCAGCCCTGGGGAAACCCCAGCCCCGGGGAAACCCCAGCCCCGAGGAAACCCCAGCCCCGAGGAAACCCCAGCCCCGAGGAAACCCCAGCCCCGGCGTCAAAAGGGATCGGGGGCTTCAAGGAGGGACCCGGGCGCCCCCCGGCCTCTCCCAGTGCGGCCTCGCTGGGAGCCGCCGGCAGGGCCGCGTCTGCCGTTGCTTGGCAACGCCGGCGGGTGTGACCACGTGACAGCACCCGCCACGCTGGAGGGGGCAAAGCGGCGGGTGTCACGTGACGGGCGGCCCTTGCCGCCATGTTGGAGAGGGCGAAACGTGGCTAATGATGGGGAGCGCAATTAGCGCTGGGGGCGGCTGCCCCGCGCCCCGACTGCTTGGGGGTGGGCACCAGGCCGGGCCCCATCTCCGTGTGTGGGGACTGGGCCGTAGCCCGGTCCCTCCGGCCCCATCGAGGCAAACCCAGCCCCGTGGCGGGGCTGCCCTCTCCGCTGTCCCCCCAGCCCTTCAGCAGCTTCCCGGGGAGACACCGCGTCCCTGGACCTGGCAGGGGTTGCCCCCCCGCCAAGGGCTGCAGCACGGGCTGGGTCCTGGGGGGTGGGGGTCCCACGCCTCTCCCAGGGGCTGGCCCTGCTCCCCACACCCCCTTACTTGCTCCCTGTCCCCCCCACCCCACCCCAAACCCTGCGCTCCTGCTCGCCCTGGGCCTGAGAAAGGAGGACGGGATGCACCCAGGGGCCCTGCGGTCGCCTAACGGCCCCGCCAGCACCCATCCTGCACCCAGGACACGCGCCCACGCACGGAGCACCCCCAAAAACCTGCGTGTCCCCCCCGCACCCCCAAAGCCCATCTCTTCCCCCCCCGCAGCACCATCACACCTGCAATGGCTCCAGCCGCCCCCTCCCTCCCCACCCCTGCGGCCAAAACCAACCCAAGCTGCAGCCACGGGATTTAAACCCAATTAAAAAAAGCGCTTTGATTGCAAAGAAATGCTTGCAGCGAGGCGTTGGTGCCGGCCGCGGAGTCCCGGCACAGCGGCAGATGCGGGTCAGCCCAGAGAAACCCACGAGGAGGAGATAAGTTTAGTACAAGTGTTTATTGTCTTTTCCCCAGAGGGCACATACAAATCAGGCCGGGCTCCAGCTCCTAGACGGAGTCCTAATGAGGTTAGTTCACATGCGTTTAAAAACAGCTTTTCTACCAGTACCGTTACATCGAAACAGTAAAAGCTGGGGAAAAAAAATTAAAAAAAAAAAAAAAATGCCCTGGAAGTTTCCAACAGTAAGTAATGCTAGTCACACATAACACAGACAGACAGCGTTAGGGGACCAAAGGGTATGTACAAGTTATCTTTAAAAGACACAGTGAGTCACTGCTATCAAGTAAGACCCCCCCCCCCCCCGGCCCCGGCTCACCCGAAGGGGAGAGCCTGGCCACCCTGGGGGGCTGCCCGGCTGCAGCACTGTTAGCCAAAGCGGGGAAGAAGGGATGGGTAACCACCACCAGCGGCACAGGAGGCGGCTGCTAATTGCAATCAGACAGGGAAAGCCTTTGCCCTCCTCCCACGGCGTGGGTACAGCCTTTGCCATGAGGAAGAGCCCTGGAGCCAACCCAGACCCTGGCTACGAGAGCTGAACTCCCCCTGGGTGGGGGGGGGAGAGGGACCAGAAGGGCGAGCGGGCAGGAAAAAACGCCCATCACCCTGTCTGCAGCCTTCGGGCTGGGAGATTTGGGGGTGGGACGGAGCAGGGGCTCTCCCTGCCCTCAGCGAGCGAGGTGCTGCGGTGGGGAAGGGGCCTTTGCTCGCATCCTCCCGAGGTCCCCGGGGCAGCCCGTGCCGAAACAGGCAGCCACAAAGGATCTGGTTCAGCTCATGCTGGTTCCCCCCAGCTTCTCGTTCCCCCCAGGGCTGCTCAGCCTGAAGCCCTGGCAATGCCGGGCAAACCAGGGCGGCAGGACCTGTCCCAGGGATGCCTGAGTAGTCCCTAACCCTCTCCCAGGGGATTCGTGTTTACCCCAGGGCTGTCCTGCAGAAGGAGGGGAGCCTGCCCCAGCCCACACTGCCGGCCCACCCACCCTGGGGGAGCCGAATCGACAAAAAGAGCCTAAAAACCAGCCAAAAACCTGCTACCAACATGCACTGCAGTAAACCCGCGCGGGAACAGAGGAGGAGAGCCGAACCGCGCCTCCGCCCTGCAGAGAACTCATAAAACCCAGGAGCAAAGCGAAGGAAAACCAGCAAGGCCAAAACATCCCTAATTCTACAGCCTCCAAACCCAGGGCCAGGGCAGCTCCGGCTGGGGGGGTGGGACACAGCGATGGGGGCACGGGGAGCCGGCTCTGCCTGCGTGGAGCAGGAAGGTGGCAGAGGGGAGCAGCCGGTGTCACCGTCGGAGGGTGGCGAAGCCACCCGGGGGCGTGGGGAAGGGGTTGGCATCACTAGTGGTTGGTTCTGCATTGCTACGGGAGCGAAGGAGCCGCGGCCACAGACCCCTCCCCGAGGGGCTGGTGCTGGGGGGGGGGGACATACACACACACACAACCGGTGGCCCCAGGCTTTGCGCTCCAGGCAGAGGGAGCTGGAGAAGGCTCCCCCTTCGTGGCATGAAACATCCCCGAGCTGGTGCACACAGGGAGGGAAAGGAGACGCTGATGCTGGGCGGGGGGGTGAAGCATCCCCAGTCTTCCCAGCACACCAGGAGCCCAGCTGCAGCCAGCGTTTGGTCGCGGAGTCGCTGTCAGCCGGGAGGCAGGAAGACTTGAGACGGAGCAGAAGCTGCCGAGGGGGGAGAGGAGGGTGCACAGAGCACACGGGTTGGGGGGGCACGGGGGTCCCCACTGCCAGGGCTCGTCCTCCAGCCGCTGGGCTTCCCACCGTGTCTTTTCCAGGTGTCTTTGGTTTCCCATCGCAGAAACGCCGGTGGCATTTTCTCCTCCCACGAGCTGCTCGGGGCGAGCGCGCTAGGCTGGGAACTCGGTGCTGTGCTGCCTGACGTGCTCATCGGTGACAGACAGGTAAGTGGCTCGCATGCTCGGGGAGTACTGCGGGGAGAGGACACGGGGGTCAGCACACCTCCAGCCCCACGGCGCGCCCCGCCGAGCCCCCGCCAGCCCCGTCCAACCCAACCCCTGCACCGCCACGTGCCGCTGAGCCGCCAGGAAAAGCTCAAGGAGAGGGAAAGATTGCTTCCCGTTTGTGTTAATCCCCAATTAATCTGCCAGGCTGCCGTGGGTCAGGGGGCCAGACCCTGGCCACTGGCTCTTTTGGGGGCTGGAAGAGACACCCCCCCCCAGCCAAGACACTTCGAGTGCCTCAAGCTCTGCTTTGCCTCTTCCCGCACTGCCGGGCTGTCAGCCAGGTTTGTCCTCCACCTTCTCTGCTCCAGCCTGGCAGCAAATTCAACCCCAATCATTGAGTCTGGGTCATCGATCATCGTGTCTCGCACCATGGGCTCGACCTCCCCCCGCTCCCTGTGCCAGCACGGGGACAGTGGCACCGCAGCCACCGGATTTTGCTGGCACGGCGGTGGAGCAGGAAGGGGTTTAGCCCTGACACGTGGGAGCACCCAGGCTCTGGGTCTCTGTGGCAGCCGAGCTGGGTTTTGCCCCCCCTCAAACTTCCCTGTCCACACACCAACCTTACCCTGGGTGCTCCGGAGCTCACCGGGTACCTGCGCCCTATGGCTGAACCCCCCCGGGGCTCCCCAGTCAGGGCAAGGTCCCCCCATCGCACTGGGAAGGGGGTAGCGGTGACCCCATGGAAGAGACTAAAACCTCCAGCCCCCTCCCCACCCCTGGAGAATTAAATTTCTCCAGCATTTTTGCAGGAGGGAGGGACACCCCGGCCAGGCATTAAGGAAGATCATTCCCGAGTTTGTTATTTTGGACTGTGCAAGTCCTTCCCCAGGGATCTCAATCCTGGTTAAATTAGACCATTCAGGGTGGGGAGAAGTGCTCAAATTAATCCCCTTCCCTCATTCATCTCTTCCCCCCCTCCAGAGAAGAAGCTCGCCAGCTGCCAGGTCTGTGCAATCGGATTACAGCCTCCCGCGCTGGCGCGGCTCCACGCTTTCACCTGATGGCAAAAATTCTTCCCCAGAAGAGGCGAGCATGGTGTCCCTGCCCCGGCCCCACCGCGGTGCCACTGCCGTGGCCGGGAGGGGCAGCCGGGGGGGCATTACTGCTTCGGATGGAGGCATCGAAGCAGATTAAACGCTGCCAGGAAAGGAGGGGGAAAAAGCGCACCGAGAACGGGACCATTTCCACTCCCAACACACGGGAGCTGCAAATCCTCTTGTAGCTGGGACAAAAATGTGGCCCCGTCCCTCCCGATGCCTCCACGCTCTCCCCAAAATCAAACCAGCCCCGGGGGAAAGGGGATGGAGGGAGGCACTGAGGGGGGGAAGGAGGACGGGAACCCAGCTGCTGCCCCAGGATGAGGAGGGAGAAGGAAGGGGCTGAACTTACTCTTGACGGGCAACTTAGCTCCAAAATAATGGATGCAAAAAAAAAAAAAAAAAAAAAAAAGAAGAAAAAAAAAAGAAGAAAAAAAAAGAAATAAAGCAGGCATTAACAGACAGGGTGGGTTTAAACAAACAGCAGGGAAATGTAAACATGCATGGGTGACTGCGACAAGCGCCCTTTCAAAGTCAGAATAAATAAGAAATAAAGCAGAGAGGAGCAGCTGAAGGGAAGACTATTTCAGTCTCCTCCGAGCACGTGGCTGGTGACCTCTCCCCGCAGCCTCCGCGGGCTGGCTGGGAACTGGGTTAGCGAGATGGGCAGGAGGGATGCGCTCGCAGAGCGGGCACGTCTTCTGCAAGGGCAGGAGGAGGGGGCCAAGCTCCCCCGTCCCCCCCCCGGCAGACCTCATGGGTGCCCTGGGCGAGTGGCTTTTTGGCAAAGCAGAAGGGGGCTCCTTGTCACCCCCTCCCCCTAAGCTCCCCCACACCTTCTCCCTGGCCCACGGGGCGTCACAAGAAGGATTTGGCCTCAGCCGTCCACTGTACCGTGGGGGGAGGAGAGCCTCTGCCGATCAGGGGGACGTTCTCGTAGCGTGGGTTTCCACCGAAGAGCACGGCTTGGTTCCTGGAGGGGGAGAGCCTGTCAGAGCCTGGGGGGGGGGGGGGGGCACAGCAAGCCCCACTGTGCCTCAAATGTGGGGTGACGCTCCATCCCCGTGCCGCGGGGAGAGGGTTGTCACCCAAGAGTCAGCGCCTCCGAGGGAGGGGGTCTCACATGTACTCGGAGACGGGGGCGTTGGAGATGGTCTGCGCGGGGGGGTGCAGGCTGCTCTGGCTGCCCAGGCTGCTGCTGTAGCTGCAGAAGCTGCGGAGCTGCCCCCGGGCCGGGTGGTGGGCGGCGATGCGACGCGCCTGAGGGTTGAAGGGGTCTTCCTCGTCCATGTCATCGTAGTCCCGGTCCCTGCGGGGACAAGGCATTGGGTGCTCACCCCCTCCCCGTGCCACGCACGCAGCCCCGTGCCCCCCACCCCCCCGGGTGAAGGCAGACACCGCGGGCGGACCCACCTGCCAGTGAAATGCTTCCAGGCGCGCGGCGCGGCGCAGATGATGGTGGAGAAGGAGGCGGCCACCAGCAAGGAGAAGAGGACCAGGTAGAGCAAACCCTCCACCCCGTCGTAGCAGATGCCGATGAGGGCGTCCAAGTAGTCCTGCGGCGGGAGACGGAAGGCCAACGGCAGTGATGGGGGGACCCCAGGAGCGGTGAGTCCCCCCCCCCCATCGGCTTAGACCCCCACACCCCACCTTGTGCAGCCCCCGGCAGTCCAGCATGGCCGTGAGCTGGTGCAAGCTGGTCTCTGAGGAGTTGAGGAGCTGCTGGACCCCCAGCAGGTCTTTCTGTGGGAGAATTGGGGGGGGGGTGGGGTGTGTGTCAGGGATGTGCTGGACGGGATGGGGAGCAGAAGCGGGGTGGGGGGGGGACGCAGCGCCCCAGCTCCCCCCTACCCTGTACCTCGGCTGTCGGGAAGAGGGGCAGCGCAAACTGTATGAGGCCCTGGATCTGGATCTGCATGGTGGTGAGCGAGCGCTGGAAGACGGTGAGAGCCTGCGAGGGGGGGGAGCGGTCACAGAGCTGCCCAAGCCCCCGGGGACAGCCCCCCCCCCCCTCCCACCCCCAGCAGCACAAAGTGGGGTGCCCGGCTCCCCCTGTACCTGCTGGAAGGGGTTGCTCAAGCTCTGGTCACAGTACAGGTAATAGTGAACCACCTCTGCAAAGCAAACGGGAGACGTCGGTATGAGTGTCCCGGGGCAGGGGGGAACAGGGAGCAGCGTGGGGGGCGGAGGGCAGAATGGCAGCAGAAAGCAACCGGACCCCCAGGCAGGTTTTAGGGGAGCACGGGGGTCCTGCCCCCAGCACAAGTCCACCCCCACGGCCATCTCTCACCCGCACTGATGTCACTCTCTGTCTGATTCATGATGAACTTGTCCGGGGCCACGCAGAAGTCGCTGGTGCCCTGCGGGGACGGGAGGGACGTCGGCGGGGCTGGGAAGGATGGGGTGGGTGCCCACGGCCCTCGGCTCTGCCCCGGTACCACCCCCTCCCCACTCACCACCGCCGCCGCCGTGTCCACGGCCATGGAAGCCCAGCTGAGGATGAGCGTCAGCAGCCCACAGCACAGCATCCTGCGGGGAGAAGGGTGAGCACGCCGTGGGGCCCGGCCCTCGGCCGCTCCGGCATCACCGCGCCCGGCCGCGGGGTACTCACGTGGTGAGGAGGCAGCGGGAGCGCTTGGCCAGCCCCAGGCAGGCCAGGAGGCAGACGGCGAGGACGAGGATGAAGAAGAGGAGATAAGCCAACCACCTGGGCGCAGAGGAAGGCTCCGTCACGCGCGCCCACCTCCCCAGCCCCGCCGGGAGATGCTCCGGGCAGCCCAGCGCCGTGGCCCCCGCTCACCGGTAATACTCGACGTAGGCGACGTGGCCGGCCAGCGCGGTGAGGTCGGCACTGGTGTCCTGCCAGATGGGCAACCCCGAGAGCTGGAGGACGATGCTGCCGGCCAACTGCTGCATGAACTTGAGGGTCTGCAGGTAGTCCCCCCGCGAGGCCAGGAGCTCGGTCAGCCGTTCCAAGTGCTGCTCCAGGCCCACCCGCATCTGCAGCGTGGTGCCGGCCACCTGGGGACAGTGGGATGCTCGGCGGGAGCCGTTCGCTCCGGACACCGACCCTCTGGGAGAGCAGCCCCGCCTCGACCCCCTGCGCTTGAGCTGGATTCATCCCCCGGGGCAGCCCCACCGCGGTGTCCCCCCCTTCTCCAGATCTTTCTGGCCACATTCTGTGGGGTGACGCCACCCTCCTGCGCTCAGGAGCGTGGCACGGCTGCCCGGGGGGGCTCAGCTGGCAGCGCAGGATGCTTGGGTCCCTCCAGCTGGATGCCTCCCCCCACCACGCTTTAACCAAACCCAGGATGGAGGATTGATGCGATCTAGGGGGGATGTGGAGGGGGTCAGCTGGGGGGGACCCAGCCCCGCGGCCCTACCAGGGAGTCGATGCTGGTCAGGGTGTGGTTGGCGTGGTCCAGGGCGTAGAGCAGCTGGTACACCCCGTCGTTGGTCTCGCTGTTCCCGTAGAAGCCGATGCCGATGGCCGCGCTGCGGGCGGAGAGGGGACCCCCAATTAGAGGGGAGGGAAACGCTCACCCCGACGTGGGCGCTTCGCCTCGGGGCCAGCGAGGATGTGGGGACACCAGCCGGACAGGGGACATTCCCAGGAGCATCCCAGTTCCAGGGGACCCACCCCCCCCCCACTATTCCTGGCAAGGGCAGAGTCAAAGCAGATTGGACAGGGACAGCACCGTGATGGGGGTCTGCTCCCCGCCGGTGCCCACAGGGCTTGGGGACAGCGAGCCTGGAGCTGCTCCACGGGCCAGACACGGGTTTGAAGCTCCTTCTGCCAAACCTGGAGAGATTGAGGGTGGAAGGGCTGGACAAAGGAGATTGGGGGAATCCAGTGGAAGCGATGCTGCTCCCAATTAAACCTGCTCCTGGGCTCGGCCCCAGGAGGGGGAGGCGGGCGGCAGGCTGGGGGCCATGCCGTGGCCGCTCCAGACCCCGTGGCTCCCCGGCACCCCGTGTGCCAGCGGGCAAAGCTGGGCCGGGGCTCAGAGCCGGCTCCAAGGAGGGACGTGCCACTGCCCGTACATGGCCGGTGGACGCGGCGCTCCCTCCCTCCCCGCAGCAGACCCCGATAAAACCGGCAGACACCGGCCCCTTCGCCACAATTAGGCCTTTAACGGCCGCAAACCCGGCGTGGCTGACAGGGGTGGGGGGGGGTTCAGAGCCCCTGGGGAGCTGCAGAAGGATCGCTTGCCACCCCAGCTCTCCCGCCGCGCGTGATGGGGTGCCCCGAGGCTGGAGGAGTGGGAGGACCTGGTTGGGGGGGGGGGGGGGGGGGGAGGTGGGGGTCTCGGGGGGAGCACACCAAGCTCATTAGTGCCACTTCCCTGCTCTGTACAATGCTCGCAGGCAGCCATCTCGCTCCGCCCAGGCAAAACCAGCCCCTTTGTCTGGGCGAGTGGGTCGCGGCCGGGCAGCCAAAGGGCCCCAGTGTCCCATCCCGTCCCCCCCCCCTCCTAGGCCAGGCCTGCCGGGGGACAGGGGGGCGGCACATAGGCTGGCTGGCGGGGTGGTTCTCCCAGCCACGGGCCGCCAAAAAATCTAGACGGGCTTGTTAAGCCACCAGCGAGCTGGCGGGCAAAGAAGCGTCCCTTCGCTTAATTGCTCCGGTCGCAATTAAGGCTGGGTGCGCGGGGGACCTGCCAGCTGGGTCACGCTGCCGCTCGCCATCTGCTCCGGGCTGGGATTAACGACCCGGCCCCGCTCCCGCCCGGGATTAGGCAGGAAGGCGGCACGGCCGCGATGGGGACAGGGACAGGGCTGCCCCGTGGCCGGTCCCCAGGGCTGCCCCAGCATCAGTGGCTGCGTGGAAGGAGGCAGGGCTGGACCAGATCTAATTGCGCCGAACTAATTAAAGCAACTCATGGCTGGAATGTAGAGCTCCTTGGGTGACGGGGAGGGGGGACAGCGAGGGGTCCCCATCCCTGCCCTCACCAGCAGATGAGCCCGGCGGTGACGGCCATCCAGGTGACACAGCAGGAGTGGGGCCGCTTGGTCTCGGGCTCCTGGTCCCTCTTGCAGCAGCACAGGCAGATCAGGTAGACGGTGAGGAAGAGGAGGTTGAGGCCGAGGCAGACGGCGGCCACCAAGCCCAGGAAAAGCAGCGACTGGGAAGGAGAGAGGGGGGACAGTCAGCACCCGTGGCCATCACGTGCTGCAGAGTGCCCGGCGGCGGGCAGGATGCGGCCACGTCCAGCTCCCCATGGGACGGTCACAGGGAGAAAGAGGAAACGTCCCCAACCCCACGCAGGGCCATCGAGCTGTGGGTGGCGGAGGGGTGTGGGGCGGGGGGTGGGGGGCAGCAACCCTTTTGAGAGGTCACTGGTGCTGCTGCCCTCCCCAGTTTTGGGGTCACGGCAGTTGATGCTCTGAGATGATTTAGGGGGGGGGGGGGGGTAGGGTATCACCGAGGGCTCAGCAGCATCCCCCCCCCCCCCCTCCCTCCCCCAAAGCACACGCGCTTTGCACCCCCTCCCCGAGGGTTGGGGGGGGGCGGGGGGGGGGGGATGGAGCCGGTGATGCCCTCGGGCTGCGGGAGACTGGGGGTGCCGGTGCCGGCTGGCCCGGCGGGGGGGCCCCGAGCCCTCGCTGCCCGCCGGGGGAAGAAGGGGAAGCTTTGTGCGGGCGTGAGATCAGAGCTGGCGCCGGATGAAAGGGGCCATGGCAGGGCTGGGGGGGGGGGGGGGGGGAGCTGTTACCTCCGCCGGTAAACGCGACCCCGGCGCGGAGACGGGCTGCGTGTCCCCCGAGGGGGAGCGAGGTGGGGGGGGATGGAGGGAGGGAGAAAGATATGGGGGGGGGGGGGGGTCCCGGGGTCGGTACCTGCTGGTAGTCGGGGTCCCGCGGACGGAAGGCGGCGGGTACGGGCTGGAGGCGGAGGCCGCGGTGCGGGAGCCCGTGGAGCCAGGCCGCCCACCAAGGCGCCAGGTAGTCGGCGCGGGCGGGCGGCATGGCGGGGCCAGGGATGGAGGTGGGGGGGGGGAGTGGTGGGGTGGGGGGGTTTGGAGAGTTGGGGGGGGGGGGGGGTGGGCGGGAGGGGAGGGGGGGGCTGTGCCGCCACGCCGCGGGGCTCGGCCCGCCCCGCCCCGCCGGCCACGCCCCCAGGACACGCCCTCCCCCTCCTCGCCACGCCCCCTCCCCCGGCCAAGCCACGCCCCCGGCAGCGGGGAACGGCCGCCGGAGCGTCCCCGCACCCCGAGACAGCTCAGGGATACCCCTATAGGGGCACCACCCTCCCACCTCCCCCGCTATAGGGGCACCGCTCCCCTTTCTCTTTGCCGTTACAGAGGCAGCCCCCCCACCCCCCTTCCCCACTATAGGGGCAACGCACACCCGCCTCCCCTGCTATAGGGGCACCGAACTGCTGCCCCCCCCCCCCCCCCGCCCCCTCCACTGCTATAGGGGCACCTCACCCCTCCCCTCCCACGCTATAGGGGCACCACACCCCCACCTCCCGTTCTATAGGGGCACCACACCCCCACCTCCCCTTCTATAGGGGCGCCACACCCCCACCTCCCCTTCTATAGGGGCACCACACCCCCACCTCCCCTTCTATAGGGGCACCACACCCCCACCTCCCCTTCTATAGGGGCACCGCACCCCCACCTCCCCTTCTATAGGGGCACCGCACCCCCATCCTCCCCTTCTATAGGGGCACCGCACCCCCATCCTCCCCTTCTATAGGGGCACCACACCCCCACCTCCCGTTCTATAGGGGCACCACACCCCCACCTCCCCTTCTATAGGGGCACTGCACCCAGTCCCCTCCCCGCTATAGGGGCACAGATCCCCCCTCCCCTCTCTCTTCCTCGTTACAGGGGCACCGCACCCCCCCCCCCTTCCCCACTTTAGGGGCACCACCCCCCCATCTCCCCTGCTATAGGGGCACTGAACCCCCATCCTCCCCACTGCTATAGGAGGGCCTCATCCCCCTCCCCTCTCTTTCCTGCTATAGGGGCACCACACAACCCCTCCCCTCCCTGCTGTAGGGGTACCATACACCCCCTCCCCTATAGGGATATGTACTATAGGGCACGGACACGCTCAGGGCTGTGTGACAGAGGGGCAGTTCTGAACCCCACTGCAGCAGGAGGGGGTGGATGACACCCCCGGACCCCCCCCCCCCAGCACCTCAAGCTCACCCCACTACAGCAAAGCAGCCCCAGCGCCACCCACAGCCATGTCGGGGGGTTCCTGGGGTGTCACGGGGTGCCCTGGCAGGTGAACCCGGCTCCTGAACCCCCAAAACTGTGAGCCAGGCCCTGGGGAGCCACCCTGCCCCCCCCGGTACAGCCAGAACACAAATGGAAAAAGACAAATGGGACATGGGGGGAAGAGTTTGGGGGTTTATTTATTGTAACAAACACGGAGAAACTTCCCCGGGGAACGGCTCATTTCAGCTCCTTCACCGCCAGACCTGTTGGGGGGCGAAGAGAAAGAGGGGTTAATGCTTGGGAAGGGGCACCCAGAGCCCTTCCCGAGGGGGTCCCAGCCCTGCTAAGGGGCACCCAGAGCCCTTCTGGGGGGCAGGGGGGGTCCCAGACCCAGGAAGGGGCACCCAGAGCCCTCTGGCTCCCTGTAAATGCCAACACTGGAGAATTAAGGGGCAACAGCATCTGCCTGGGCAAAGAACAGATGGTAGCATCGGGCGCAGGGACAGACCTGGGACGGGGGGCACATCCTGGGACAAGGCCACTGGACAACAGGAGCTCCACAGGGGCTCCTCCATGGGGAGGGGACTCTTGCTGTCCCCCCAACACGAGACATTTCCCCTCGGGTACCTGGGGGCAGGGACTGCTTCAGCTTCTCGGCCTTCTCCTTGTCCGTGATCACCAGGGTGTACAGGTACCGGCTGCAGCGCACCTTGAATTTCACATTGTCCTTGTTCTTCTTGATCTTGACCGCTGCAGGATGAAGGAACAGGTCAGCAGAGAGGGGGTGGGGAGGGAAGCGACCCCCCCACAGCTCCTCCCCTCTCCCCCAAGCCAGGAGGGCAGCCACCGCCCTGCCCGCCCCACCTGCACTGAAGAAAATCCAAAATATTTTCCCTACCCCACTGCCACTAATAGCTCCAAGCCAGAGGGCTCGGCCCACCATCTCGCAGATTTTTTCAAATGCAACAGCTCTGAGGCTGCCCTGCTTTGCAGCAGCAGTTTACAACAAGCAATGTGTCTCCTTTCTACCCCCCCCTCAACGCTGTTTTCTCAGAGCCGTGATGGGTTCCTCTCCTTCCCCACTGCAGAGCCCTGGCAGAGCTGCTGCGGAACACAGCGCAAGCCGAAAGGCACAGAAATGCTTTGAGAGGGGCTGTCAGCAGCTACAATAGCGTTTTGGTGCTGCGCTACCCCTCTTCGCCCACACTGGTGAGTTAACAAAACATTTCCAGAATGAAAAGCGCCTCTTCCCCATGACAGCTGGATCCAAATAAGCAAGAGAAGAGGGAAAACTCTTCACGGGTTGTTAAATACCAAGACAAGGCATTGCTGGCGTTTCAATTATAACGGTCTTTGTGTTTGCAACAAAAGAAAACTCAAGTTTGAGTGCGATTCACTTGTCATTCTGAGAGACGTCCCCAGCGTCTGACTTCCTGTAGCTTTTCAAAGACTACAGTAAATCAGAGGCAGGGTGGTATCTGCAAATAGTTTCCAGCGAGCTGCAGCAGGGGCTTAGCTGAAACACTTCTGCAGTGGAAGAAACAGAGCTGAGCCGGTGTCTGAGCCCCAGTCCCGGCTCAGAGCCCCCCAGTAACAGACCCAGGCTCTGTCAGAGCGTGGCTTTGCTCCCAGGCAGTGACCTCGGCCAGCACTGAGCAAAAATTGCTTTAAATGTCACTGATGTTGTGCCCAGATAGAGCCTCAATACCGTGTGTCCCAGCCAAGGAGCTCCTGGCCCCACGGCCCCGCTCAGGCCGGGGAAAAGCTGCTCCTACACCTGAGCATCCCCTCGCTCCTCCTCGGACCCACGCTGCAGCTTCCACACTTACACTTGGCGTCCTTCCTCCTGGCTGTCAGCAGAAAATCTTTAATCTCCTCAATCTTACGAGGCTGGAAAGGAAAACAGCGTAACAGAGGGGGAGCTGAAAGCTCGCTCCCCAGCTCACGCCCTGCGAGCACCCCCGCGATCACTGGGAACCCCAATTCCACCCCCCCCCACGGGTGCTGTCCCAGGGCACGGGGCACCTCTCGCCCCCACTCCCAGGTTTGGGAGAGGCTCTCCTCCGACAGCAGCACCGCGCTCCAGCCATTTTTCCGCCGCGGGGGTCCCCGCTGTCCCCCCCAGCACCGCAGGGCACTGACAACATGCTGTCTCCCCCGGTCCCGCAACCCTCCCCCTCACCTCCAAGGGAGGACCACCCCCATCCTGCCGGGCCCCCAGGACAGCCCCAGCCCCACGGGGCGAGGCGAGAAACACCGCTCGCCCCCCTCCTCACCATGGTTCCGGGCCGGGTTCACAGCGCTCCAACCTGCGACAGAAACCACCCAAGATGGCGTCAGCGCAGCCCCACCGCCCACAAACGGCCGCCCATCACCGGCCTCCCCGCCCTCCCCCGCTGCCCGCCGCCCACCAGCGGGTGGCCCGGGGTCCCCTCCGCTCCCCCGGCCCGCCCCGGGGCCGCCCGGCCCCGCACGGTAGCGGATGGCGGCGGATCCCGCACAGCCCCCACCCGCCGCCGGCCGCCATCACTCACAGAAACCGCCGCCTGCGCAGAGACCGGAAGCGGGCGCGCACTTCCGCGTCCCGCGACGGGTCGGGCGGAGGGACAAACAACTGCCGGGGGGCGCGGTCGCGGTCGCGGTGGCGGGGCGCGGCCTCTGCGATGAGTTGGCGGGGTCTCAACCCCGGCTCACCCCCGGGTAACGGAGGGTGATGCAGGGAGCACCGGGCATCCCCCGGCCTCTCCCATCCCGCCGCGAAGGAAGGGCGCGGCGGCCCCCCCCCCCCCCCCCCCCCGAGAGATGCTGGGGCTCCCCGGCTCGGGTAGGGCTGCAATGGAGCCGCTTTGCCACAAGAGAGAGCTTCAGCCACGCTCAAAAACCCCCCAAACCACCCCAAATCCTTGCAAGAACCTTCGGGGGCGGGGGCGAGGCACCCCATCCTGCGCCTGTGCCTCCTCTCTCTCGCCCCGTCCCCATCCCGCCAAGCCCTGTGCGGGTCAGAGCCGCTATTTGGGGGTGCTGGGGTGCTTGGGTGGGGTCAGCGGGGGCTGCATGGCCTCTCCCCTTAGCAAAAATTCCCAGCTCTGCCCCCAAAATCTCATGCTGGAGGTGGTTTTATGGGGTTTTTCCGTGTGTGTGTGTCCCGTCCCCCCCCCCGCCCCGCTGGTTTCGGGGATGTGCCACCACGTGCCCTGTGCTGGCTGTGAGCGCTGGGGCCCCTCGGTCCGTGCCAGGGACCCCCCACCCGTGCAGGGACCCCCTGCTCAGGGCATCATGTGGAGGGGCTGGACCCCCTGGGTGAAGGGGCAGCGCAGTGGCTTGTCCCGATCCGGCGTTCCCAGGGCGGAGAGAGGGAGTTGATGGAGCTGGTGGCTCCTGTGTGGCTGGTGTGGCACCCTGACCCAGCACCCTGACCCGGCACCCTGACCCAGCACCCTGACCCGGCACCCTGACCCGGCACCCTGACCCGGCACCTTGACCTGGCACCCTGGTCTTGGCACCCTGACCCGGCACCCTGACCCGGCACCCTGACCCGGCACCTTGACCTGGCACCCTGGTCTTGGCACCCTGACCCGGCACCCTGACCCGGCACCCTGGTCTTGGGACCCTGACCCGGCACCCTGACCCGGCACCCTGACCCAGCACCCTGGTCTTGGGACCCTGACCCGGCACCCTGACCCAGCACCCTGACCCAGCACCCTGACCCGGCACCCTGACCCGGCACCCTGACCCGGCACCTTGACCTGGCACCCTGGTCTTGGCACCCTGGTCTTGGCACCCTGACCCGGCACCCTGACCCAGCACCCTGACCCAGCACCCTGACCCAGCACCCTGGTCTTGGGACCCTGACCCGGCACCCTGGTCTTGGCACCCTGACCCGGCACCGTGCTCTGGCACCCTGATCCAGCACCCTGGTCTTGGGACCCTGACCCGGCACCCTGGTCTTGGCACCCTGACCCAGCACCCTACTCTGGCACCCTGACCCAGCACCCTGGTCTTGGGACCCTGACTGGGCACCCTGACCCAACATCCTGACCCCGCACTGTGCTCTAGCACCCTGACCCAGCACCCTAGTCTGGCACCCTGACCCAGCACCCTGGTCTGGGACCCTGACCCAGCACCCTGACCCGGCACAGGCACTGCCAGACAGATAGTTGGAATTAAAAGGGAATGAGCCATCAGGGAAGACAAACCCCTGACGCGACCGCAGGGATGGAAGCGAGAACTGGGGGAGATTCGAGCCCACAAATCCCATGTTCCTGTGCCTGCGAGGAGGGTCCCTGCCTCAGCTGGGGGTGTCCCGAGGGGTCCCTGTCACGGCACAGCCCAGGTCCCCAGCTTGTTCCCAGCCACCATTCCTGCCCGGCTGCCCGTGGGTGCCAGGAGAGGCTTCACAACCCCCGTCCCCAGCTCCCCACGAGCGTGGGGGGCTGCCGGAGCAGGGTAATCACCGCCGAGCAAGTCAGAGAAATGGCTGTAACTCGCTAAAAAGCAGGATTTTTTTTTTTTCTTCCAGCCCTATTAAACAACAGTGTTTAATGGAGGGTGAGGAGTTACGGCTCCTCCGCTCCGCAGCCAGAGAATGAACTCCAGTTCCTCATCACCCGTGGCCCCATCCGTGGGACCAAGCACACCCACAGCCACGGGGGGGCTGGAATTTTTGAGGGGAGGGCTGTGGCTGGGCACGTACACCACGGCTGCCTCACAAAGCAAAGCCTTCCCTGGGACTGTGCCCTGATGCTGTGGGACCCCCCTCCACGGTCCTGCATGGGGTGAACCCCTGTGGGTACCCGCTCCGGGGTGGCCCGAGCCAGCGCCGGGTGCCGAAGCTGATCACCAGCTGGTTCGTGATCCTGCAGCCATGGTGGTTTTGGAGATGGATAATTAATTACCTTCTGATTTTAATTACTGCTGGTGGGGGGGATGCGGTTGGCAGTGCTCGTGTGCCCGTGAGGGGGGACTGGAAGGTCGCGGGTCTGTGTCTCGTGTCGGCAGCGTGGGTGCGTCCCGGCTCATCCCGGGAAATCCAAAACCGCCGGGACGCGAGTCCGTCGGCGCTGGCAGCAGCTCTGAATGATGGAATTACAAGGAGGAAGAAGGAGGAGGAAGAAGGACAGCGGTGGGTGACACCGGGGACGGGGCAGCTCTCCCCAGCTCCTGCTCCGGGGCCGAAGGGGTGCTCGGGGTGTCCCGCCGCGATGGCAGAGTGGATTTTGCAGGGGTGCTGCTCCCCGACTCCGGCGGTGCCCCCGCCGCGGCTCCTGCGTGCCCACCCACGCCCATCACCCACCGCCTCACCCACCCGTCACCCCACAGCACTCCCACCCAGTGGCACCCCCCCCATCACACCAACACTGGTAACTGGGGTGAAGCCTGCAGCTGGGGTGGGAGCTGCGGGGCTCCCACCGAGGGGAGGTTTTTTGGGTGGGATGATTCTCCTTCGCTACCAAATGAGTTTTTTAATTGTTTGATTTACTTATCTTATCTCTGATGGGCTGATCTACTCTGCTGCCTTTTAATTGCTTCAAAAGTTGAGCAGTTTTTCATGTTTTAAGGAGTGCTGAATTGTATAATTAAAACACTAACGGTGTAAATCAACAGTGCAGAAGAAAGACAGCGGAGAATGAAGCAAGCTTCTTGGCATAATAATAAAACTAAACTGGCATGAAAAGTGCCCATTATGGCACCGATGCTGAATACTAATGCTCGGCCGAGGGCAGCGAGGCACCGTCCGGCCCTGGCGAGGGGCTGTGAACACTGGCACACTGTGTTCACCTCCAAAATCACCTGGTTTTGGCCCAAAGTGCAGCGTGGCCTCACCATTGGAGTCTGAGATGGGGGGCATGGGGGGGGGGTGGCCATCCCCCCATCCCATGGCCCCTGCGCCCCCCCCAGCAGCATCGCTCCCGCTCCTCCCTGGGAACGGATTCACTTTTACTTTATTAATATTATTTAAAAGCTGAGTGGGTGTATAAATCAACAAAAATAATTCATGAGAGTCATTAGCTCCTCAAAGACGGGATCTTTTTACGACTGGCTTTAAATTAAAAAAGGAAAAAAAAAAAAAAAAACAAAACACCAACCAAACCCCACCACATTCTGAAACTGCAGCTTTTAAAACACATCAAATACATTTCCTCCCTGCCTCCCACCGGCCCGGCTCCTCTGCCTAATGAAATTCAATTAGCATCCTTAATTCACCCGCTGACTACCAGTTTTATATTAAAAAAAAAAATCTTTCTGGTTCTGCTTGGGAAACGCCGTGCTAGGACTGCGGTTGTGTTTAACCCTGTGGTTTGGGGGTACCATGAGCCCCCCCCACCCCGCCAGCGCGGGGTTTGGTGAGCATCTTGACGAGGAGCCTTCCTCCTCCTTATCCTTCTCCTCATCTTCATCATCCTCCTCCACCAGCAGCTCCGGGAGGCTCCAGCGAGGTGGATGTCGATGGAGGAAACCTGGGATGCCGGATCTGGCTGCTGGCACTTTGCCGACATCCAACACACCCCCTCACCCCTTCCCCAAACTCACCCCTCGCCGGCGCCCACGGGTGCTTCCCACCGAGCCTGGCCGGGTGATGTCCCCCAGCGCCCTTGGGGACAGCGGGGACGCGGCCGGCGCGGGTGGCAACCCCCCCGGCAGCTCGGGTGGGAGTTTATTTGCAGCAGCGGGTTTAAGCGGCGCGTTGGCAGCCGGCGAGATGCGTGTGTCACCCGGCGATTAGATGGTATCACCTTATCAGCACCAGCAGCACCGGGGACTGCGGGGAGGGGGGGGAACAACAAGAAATACAAAAAAAAAAAAAAAAAAAAAAAAAGGAAAAAAAAGCCGATGTGATTTTTTTCTCTCCTCCTCTCAGAGGTCTGATTCAAAGTTAAACGGCTGCTGAAGATAATCTGCTGCGGGCGCCATCCCTCAGCACCTCTCGCCTTGACCTTGGGGGTCTTTGGCTGGCGGCGGCAGCCCGAGCCCTGCTCGCGCCTTGGGAGCCGGCCAGCTCGCTTCGCGCGCTCGCCCGAGAGCCGAGCGAGCCAAGGGTACTCCGTCAGAGTGGTATTTACACACACAAGGGCAGCCGTATTTTTATTATGCATAATTACACTGTCCTTAATGGAATTGCAAACCATTTTTCCTGGCGGAGGGAGGGAGGGGCTGTGGGGGCAGGGGAACCGCAGCTTGTCTGGGTATCAGGGTGAGCTCTGAGCTATCGCTCCCGGCCCGGCCGCGCCGCTGGTCCCCGCAGCCCCGGGACGGTGGGTGGGGGGTGTCCCTGCAGCAGCGTGCGGTGCCCACCGCCCGGACCCCTGGCCTGACTCTGCACCCCCAGCTCCAGCGCTGGAAGCTGAGCACCTCCTCTTCTCCCCATCCCCGGTGGGCACCCGTGACCGGGGAGCACCCCGCTCGCCCGAAGTGTGGGTGGTTTCCTTCTCCTCTTGCTTTTCGCGGGGACATGACCGTTCCCTGCTCGGGGACGCCACGCGGTACTCCCCAAATGTTTGCTCCAATCTTCCTGCAGCAGCAGCGCTGCCGATGTCCCCCCAACCCAGTGAGGACGCATGGGAGAGCTCAGTCAGCAGGGAAAACCCACGGTTTCGGGGTCCCACGGGTGGGTGGAGCGTGGGAGGCATTGCTTACCCTTGGGGACACGATGCGGTAGCAGCACCCCGGGAGACGGGCAGGGGATGTGTCCGCAGAGGTGCGTGGTCCCACCTCGGGCACCCTGGGGTCAGCTTTGCGGCTGCACCCCATGGCTGCTGAGCCCCCAGTTCGGGCTGAGATGTACGTGCCCAAGACGTGCAAGGCTGAGATGAGCGTGGCTGAGATGGGCAGGATGGAGACCTGCGTGGCTGAGACACGGATGGCTGGGACCGGCATGGCTGAGGTGTGCATGGCTGTGACATGGAAACTCAAGATGTGCACGGCTGCGATGTGCGTGGCTGAGATAAGTGTGGCTGAGACGTGCAAGCTCGAGACATGCACGCCTGGGACGTGCAAGATGGAAACCTGCACGGCTGAGACGTGCACGGCTGAGATGTGCAAGATGGAAACCTGTATGGTTGAGACTTGCAAGACTGAAACCTGCATGGCTGAAACGTGCACGGCTGAGACGTGCATGGCTGAGATGTGCAAGATGGAAACCTGCACGGCTGAGACGTGCATGGCTGAGATGTGCAAGATGGAAACCTGTATGGTTGAGACGTGCAAGATGGAAACCTGCATGGCTGAGACATGCAAGACTGAAACCTGCATGGCTGAAACGTGCACGGCTGAGACGTGCATGGCTGAGATGTGCAAGATGGAAAACTGCATGGCTGAGACGTGCATGGCTGAGATGTGCAAGATGGAAACCTGCACGGCTGAGACGTGCATGGCTGAGATGTGCAAGCTGGAAACCTGTATGGCTGAAATGTGCATGGCTGAGACGTGGAAGATGGAAACCTGCATGGTTGAAACGTGCAAGATGGAAATTTGCATGGCTGAGATGTGCACGGCTGAGATGTGCAAGATGGAAACCTGCATGGCTGAAACGTGCATGGCTGAGACATGCAAGATGGAAACCTGCACAGCTGAGATGTGCAAGATGGAAACCTGCATGGCTGAAATGTGCAAGATGGAAATCTGCATGGTTGAGACGTGCAAGATGGAAACCTGCATGGCTGAGACGTGCAAGACTGAAACCTGCATGGCTGAAACGTGCACGGCTGAGACGTGCACGGCTGAGATGTGCAAGATGGAAACCTGCACGGCTGAGACGTGCATGCTCGAGACGTGCACGGCCAGGATGAGCGTGGCTGAGAGGCACAAGACGGAGCCATGCGTGCAGCTCGAGTGCTGCATGCCCGAGCGCTGCACGCCTGAGACACGCCTGCCCGAGCCGTGCATACCGGTGCCTGACACGTGTGCTCCAGACGTGCCCACCGAGCCGCCTGGCCCCCAGTGCCCCCGCCCTGTGGCACCAGACCCGGCGTGGAGGCACCGCACCGGCACAGGCGACCGCCATCCAATCCTCGCTTTATTCTTCCCCATCTCGGGTCCTTCTTTACCGTGAAAAAGCGTTTGTGCAGGAAGGTGACGCGTGGCGGAGGTGGGGAGCTGGCAGAGTTAATAGGAGACATGAAAGGACACGTTTGCCAGGAGATTCCCCTATTCAGGGAACAAACTGCAGCAGGAATTGATTTTTTCCCCCTGTTTACTCGAGTTTCTTCCCCCTGGTGCAGAGAAGAAAGACCTTGCATGGCGATTACCTGCTCTGGAGTGCAAGTGCAATTTGCTGGATGCATTTGTTATTAACAGGGACAGAAAACTCTTTCCACTCACTTGGTATTTTCTTTCTTTTTTTCCCCTTCACTCTCATTCTTTTTTCCTTTCTCGGTTTTTAAAGCGAAGGGCCCTGGCAGTGCACTGCCGAGAGCCGATCAATTCACTCCTAATGGCAGCTCCCATGCCCTTGCATTCATCAGCCCGGCTCTTAAAGAGCATCCGAAGCTTCATGGACGACTTGGGGGAAAAAGAAAAAGCCCATTTGGAGGCGAGATCATATTTTCTCCGTCTCTTCCCCTTTTGTTCTTTATTTGCGGAGGACAAAGGCAGGCGCAGGCTCGAGGTGGGGAACAGGCAGCGGAGGCAGATGAAATCCGAAGAAACAAAAGAGCCTGTTTTCATGGAAATGCCCTCAAAAGGGGGGGAACAAATTTGAGGAGGGGGGATGCAGGGCTGGGGAAAACGCTGGTGGGGGTTGAGTTCAGCAGCAGCATCGTGGCGTGGCCGGAGCAGGGAAAAGGAGAATAAACACGGCTGGAAGTTTTCCCGCAGGCATCGGGAGCTGTTTGAAGCTCTTGAATATATATTTTTTTTTTAATTAGGGCTGGGCTGGATCCTGCCCGGGCGGAGCAGCCGCATGGGAGCCAGGATCAGCATCTGGCCCTGGAGCAGCTCCTGCTTTGCCTCCGTCAGCCGTTTCGGGGGGCCGGGAGAGGCCGGAGCTGGGGAGGTTTAATGGGTTGTGGCGTTGCCGCAGGAAAACCATTTAATACCTGGGTCCCTCATCGCTCCCTGCGCTCAGCATCCCTCATCGGGAGGCAGGGGAGCAAAAACCAAAGGGATAAAAAAAGCCAAGCGATGCAGAGCAGAAGGTGCTGGGGGGTGCCCGTCCGCAGCCCACGCCGCCCCCCCCCGCCAGCGCTGCGTCGGACCACCCCTGTCACGAATTGCTCTGGTCTCAGCGGGGCAATGGGAGCACGTGGCCACGCAGGATGGAGCACAAGGGCTTGGGGAGGGGGGGGGGGCCTGGGGGCTGAGTTCCCTTGAGGTGGGAGAGGGTGGGGGGGTGAGCTTTGGCTGGGGTGATGACACACGGGTGCAAGCCCACGGGGAGGTGGTGTGAGGGTGGGCGATGCCAGGGCGAGGGACGGGCTCTCTTGCCTTTAAATAACATTAATAAAATAAAAGCGAATCTGTCCCCCGGGGGGCTGGCTGCTCAGGCAGGGTGAGGTAGCGGTGGGTGGGGAGGCGCAGCCCCCCCCCCTTCCCCGTCCCACGCTGCGGGAGTTCAGGCGTTCACCACGCAGACAAATGACCTGAGCCGGCGCGGGCACGCGAGCGCGGTGGCTTGGCCGTGCCATCGGCCCCGCTGCCGCCGGCGGTGGCCGCGTCCAGCCGAAACCAGCTGAGCATCCCAGCCGGCAGCAAAGAGAGCCTGGTGCCCCCCCCCCCCCCCCCCGGGGGTGTGTTTTCTGTTCCCCCACCCCCCTGGCAGGCAGCTCCGGGCTCCCGCATGCAAACTGCAGCCACCCACCAGTGCCAACCCACCGGCCCCGAGCACAGGGACACCCTTGGCTCTAAGGGTTTGGTGTTTTGGAGGTGCCGAGGGCGGCTTCCCTCCTTCTTCCTCGCTCGCCAGTGCCCGCGTGAGTACTGGAAGAAGCTGGTGGTGTTTGGGTTATTCCTGCTGCTGGGGCACCTGCGCGATGGCACCGGGTGACAGTTCTCTGGCGGAACCCTGGCACAAGCTCGTGGCCCCAGGATGTTCTGCGGGGGGGCCCCAAAGGGCTCTGGGGCCCCCCCCCCACCCCGAAGTCGGAGAGATGAAAATGAGCCGAATCCCAGCGCCCAGCCCTGCTGCTCCCCTGGGCCTCAGCCGGGTCTCCAGCGTTGGCAACCCCCCCTGCATGGGGCAGGATGTGCCCATATCCCCGGGGACCTGCTGGCCGCAGGATGTGGACCCTGGTGCCTCATCCTGCACAGTCCCTGCAGGTCCTGGTCCCCGAGCTAGGAGGAGCAGAGGGTGACACCCCGATTCTACTCCCCGCTTGCCCCTCCAAGGGGGATTTGCCCTGTTTAGAGGCACAGGGCAGCGTGCGAGGTGCTGCGTTGTGTGCCCCCCGATGTCCCCTGCACCCACCTTCATGGGGTCACCGTTAGTGACCCAGCAATGCAAACACCAGCCCGACTCATCCAGGGGCTGATAATGGTGCAGGCAGGACCCCCCGCCCCCGCCCTCCATGGGTGCTGCAAGGAGGGAGGGTGCAATGTCTGGGCAGCCCCAAAGGTCCCAGACCAGGACCCCAGAGGGTGCTGGTGGCCACAGGCCACAGACTGGGCAGGTGTGTGACACCCATGGGTGGCATCAGTGGTGGCACCATCGGGGCAAGGGCAGAGCAGCTGCGGCGCCCGCCTGGCTCCCCGCCACCCCGTGCAGCTCCAGCCGAATTTGGTGTCATCCTGCAGAGGAAGATTATGGTAATTTTTCTCCCCCTTTATGCATAATTTTCCGACTCGGCTGCAGCAGAGGCTGTGCGGAGAGGCTGGGTGATGGGAATGTCATCTGCGATTTGATTATCTCCTCCTGCCTTCCTTTTTTTTTTTTTTTTCCTTGTGAAACCTTCATCAAAATATGTAGATCTAATTAGGACAATTACAGTGTGAGGGCAGCTGAAACCCACCCAAAACCGCACCACAACCAGCCATCTCAGCTGAGCCGCTGGCAAGAGGGGGGGACTGGGGATTTTGAGGGTTTTTTTTTGGCTCTGCAGGGGGAATGGATGGGGTTGGCGGGTTTGGGGCTCCTTCGTGGTGCTGGGGTGATGCTGGCTTTGGGGTGCACGGCCCCAAGGGGATGGAAGTGTCCCCCACTGGGCATGTCACTGAGGTCCTGCTGGGGGGACCCAGAGGCTGCGCATGCCAGTGACAGCTCTGTCCCCCACCTCACCGGCTGTCGTGAGCTGGAAGGGGTCTCAGCACCTTGCCGACACGGTGCAGGGGACAGCTGCCACCCCTGCTCCCCGCACACCTTGTCCCCCCCCGTCCCCGGGGGTGCCCGCCGTGCTGTTTGGTGAGGAGGGGCCACCCGTGAGCCTGCAGCTCCGTGAGCCTCATTGGTATTCCGTCCCCGCGCCGTGGCAGCTGGCTGGATGGGAGCCGAGTGACAGCAATGACAGGTAATGCCAGCCACGGGGACGGCGGCAGCCGGCGGGTCGGCAGCGAGGGCACAGCTCCGCCTGCGTCCCCACGCAGGGACACGCGACGGGAGGGAGGACGGGGAGAGCCCCCGGGGGCTGGACGCTCCAGGCCCCCGCGCTCTGATGCACCGATGCTCACCCCCGGGCATGCTGGGGATGCTCTGAGCAGAGAGTTGGGGTGCAACCCCAGCACCACGCCGTCCCCCCAGATGACCCCGTGCCCGCCTCCAGGCACCTGCACCAAGCAAGCGACGGCAAGCATCGCACGGGGTAGAAAAAGTCAAGCAGGGACGTGCTGGGAACCCGCACTGGTCCCCGAGGGCGGCAGGGCGAGGGGTGGTGGCCGGGCAGAGCCGGCTGCACGGGCAATTAAGGGAAGTGCAAATTGTCAGACCCTGTGATTAACACTGCCTCCAAATCCGCATGAATATTAAAAGCTGACATTGCCCAGGCTCCCCGCACAATGAATTCTGTATGAATCTTAAGATAAATCGTTTGGGTAACTTAGCGGCAGCTGTACTCCCTTGCCACCGACTGCCTCCAAAAATCATTTCACATCAGACGAGAGGAGCCAGAACAGAGAGCAGCCCGGCGCCGGGAGCTGCCGTTCGGGGCTCGGCGGTGCCGGAGTCAAGGCAGGGGAGCACAGGGCACCCGGGGCTCGAAGGCAAAGGCACCTGGGCTCTGGCTGGCTCCCAAAAATTGGGGACAAATCCTCTTACTTGATACGGTTGCTATTGTCTTTGGCCAGGGGACATTTGCTTTGCCTCCGGGGGTTTGGGAGGGGGTCCTCCCTGTTTGTCACTGCCCCGTTACGGTTACTCGCGGCACCACGTTCCCGTTAGCAGAAGAGCATCCCGCTCCTCCAGCCTTGCCGTGAGCATCCTCGGGCACCGGCACAGAGCTCCCTCCTCCCGGGAGGTGACCCGCCACGTCCCCGGGTGCCACCGGGCCCGGCTCCCATTGGCATGCAGCCGCCGCGCTCTTGCCGCGTGCTCCTGGTTCAAAATGCAGCGGAGGAGCCGCCGCCGCGTCCTCGGAGGCCGGGGCCTTGATTGCATCCTCGCGAGGCCATAAATCAGCCCCGGAGGGTTGGCAGCGCGAGGCGGGGAACGGCAATGTCACGGCGCGGGCAGGGGACGAGCATCACCGAGCCACGGCGGGCCAGAGCTGCCCCTTCCCCGAGAGGGTCTCGGCGGAGGATCTGCAGCAGGAGAGCTCTTGGGGTACCCGAGACACAACACAGGCTGCCGGACCCCCCCATCTCCTTCCCTTTCTCTGCAGGGGGGTCCCCAGTCTCTCTCCTCCGCCACCAGCTCGGGGGAAAACATCTGCATCCCCCCCCCACCCCCTCCCTGCTCCGAGATGTCAGGGGAATTGAAAACACTGCAAATATTTCCTCGGTCTAAATTACACCGACCCCGGAAGGCTGTGTGCCGCCGTAATCCACGTTATGAATTGTAAATCAGGTGTGATGCAAACCACCCCCTCCCAGACTCGGGGCGGGGGGGGGGCACAGCTCTGTGCACCCCCACACCTTTGGGTCCCGGGGTGCCCAGGGCTGGTGATGGAGCTGGGACCTGCCCAGATG